GGAGAGAGAGAGAGAGAGAGAGAGAGAGAGAGAGAGAGAGAGAGAGAGAGAGAGCCGGTCACATCGTCGTTCACGCCCGTTCACGCGCGCGAACGGAATCCTTTTGGTCGTTCACATCCGTTCACGCGGGTGCATGGAATTGTGAACGACGGGTGCGAACGCTGAGGTACCGGCCCGTCGACGGTTCTGGGCGCGGGTCGTACTGGGCAGGGCACCCCAGGCAACCGGTGACACATCGGGACACAATTCAGGGGGGGGGGAAGGGGGGGTTGGATATGACAGGGAAAAAGAAAAAGGGGGAGGGGATGGTAGGGAAAAGGAAAAAGGGGGAAAGGGAGGGCGCGAAGGAGCCCTTTGTGTCGGTCAAGGACGACGACCAGCGCGAAGTTATTTGCCGCTGCTGCATATTCAAGTACTTGACGAAGGGTCAGACGCTGGAGAGTTGCAAGGACAACTTTAAGATGAAGTGCCGCTTCTGCGACAAACCACCTTTCTAGGGCAGTCAGGCGCGGGGTGCTGAGCACTTCACGAAGGGTAGGTGCCCCAAGGTGACACCAGAGGTCCTCGTGGACATTTGGAATACCACACAGTACCCTTTCGACCAGCGGCGAGAGAGACAGGTGCGAGATTACATGGAGTATCGTGGCATCCGGAATAACAGAGAGGTGGGAGTTGGAGTGGGGGAGGATGACGAGGTGCAGGATGTTTTGACCGGGAGGGGGCGGACAGCGAGGGAGGACGTTGTGGCGGCGAGGACGATGAGATGGACAGGGGCGGAGGGTGAGGGCGAGGGACCGACGGAGGATGGCGGTGAGGACGATGTTCAGGAGTTAGGAGCGTCCCTTCAGGGGGGATCATTGAAGGCATGACGCATTGCTTATCAGACAAGGACTCGTGCACCTATGGATGGCCGTGGGAAGAGGAGGGCGGACACCGCTCCTGCGGCACGCGTGTCGGACCCGAAACGTTTGAAGCAGGTCAGACTGGATGAGATGTACGACCCGGAGTGGCAGACCACCTTCAACCATCTCTTCCTGCAGTGGTGGTATATTGGCGGTGTCCCATTTGAGAGGGCGAGGATGCCCGAGTACAGGGCCCTCACGAGACATTTGCAGAACATGCCCCGGGGCATGAAGCCTACTTTGCCCCAGTTCAAGCGCATAGCAGGCAGTGGCATACAGGAGGAGCGTGCGTACATAGCTGATAAGCTACGTGACATACGCGAGCAGATGCAGCACACAGGGGCTACCATCCTCACGGGTGGGAGAAAGTCCCTGAACTCTGAGCCCATCGTGAACTTCCTGGCAGCAGGACAGTCGGGCGCCTTCCTTTTCACGACGGTGCGCAGGGAAGGGGTTGACGCAGAGACGTCAGACCTCGTCTTGCAGCGCTGGAAGAAGGTGTTCGAGAAGTTCGGCGTGAGGAACATCAACGCCATCTGCACGGACTCTGCATTAGTTTATGTCGCCGCCGGTCGAGCGCTTTGCAACGATCCTGATCCAGATATCCGTCGCATCCCTTGGCTCCCTTGTTCTGTCCATTGCTGCGACTTGATGTTGTCAGACATGGCCAAGGATAAGACATGGGTCATCGACTTGTTGACCAGGGCGAGGGCGGTTGTCCGATTCATTAGATGTCACGGATCGGCTCTCGCGTTGTTCAGGAGTTACAGTGCGAGGGCCGATCGCGATGCATGTGCGGACCGTTTGGGTGGCAGCGCCGTGGGTGGAAAGGGGACAGTAGGCAGACCACGACGCGGCCGAGAGTTGTTGTACCCCTGCCAGACGCGATTCGCGTCTATGTACATCATGATGGAGAGGTTGCGCGACCTCAGGGTTCCACTTGAGACGATGATGTTGGAGGGGGATTGGGCGCGACTTCCATGGGAGAGGAGGTTGTTTGGGCAGGCCGGGTGGGTGCGCAAACAGTTGCGATGCGGGCTGTTTTGGGAGGAGATGGATGATCTCATCGACGTCTTCACCCCGGTAGTGCAGCTGTTGAGGATGTTGGACCAGGGGGGTTTGGTGATCTCTTGCATCTTCCGGTGGGTGACCCAGTTGGCCGAGGAGATTCGGAAGTTGGAGTCGACGAGACCTCGCCTGGTTGGCATGCTGCAGGATTGTTACGCTCGTGCATGCCATCTGCTCGAGCCTGCCCATGCTGCCGCCCATCTTCTCAATCCCAAGAGGCGGAACTTCGTTTACTTCCAGTCTCCGAGGCGCAGCGATCAGCAGAAGAAGGTGGCCGAGATGACACTTGAGTACATCTACACGCAGACGGGCTTCGACCGGCAGGGAGACAGGTACAGGTTGGTCCGTCAGCAGTTCTACGACTTCCACGCGCTCGGGCTGAGGTATGATTGGGGTGGAGATGCAGGCACTGGAGACGAGGACACGTGCGAGGGGCCGGATGAGACACAGGCCATTGCTGACTGGAGGGTTTTGCACGGTAGCTGTGCCCCTGAGCTTTGTGCCATCGCCACACGTCTGATGTACACGTGGGTCTGCGCCTCTCCTGCGGAGAGGAACTGGGCGTTGCACGACCGTATCCACGAGAAGCGCCGCAACGGGTTGGACTTCACGAAGCTGATTGAAATGGTGGAGATGTGTGCGAACAAGAAGCTCCTGGCGTGTAGACAGAGGAGGAGGGGACTTGTTCTGCCGTGGGGTGATCTTGAGGAGGGGTTGGACGACGTCCCGGAGCCGCGCAGATCAAGTACTCTGCCGCCGGGGTCATTGACGGACGAGGAGATCGCGCGCCAGGCGCGCAGGATGCATCTTCCTCGACGGTTCGCCACCCCCCTGCGGTTCAGACTGTGTTTGGTCGTCGTGCAGCTCATATCGAGTTGTACCACGAGGAGATCGAGTACGATCCACCCACGGACCCGCATGCTGCAAACGAGATGGAGGCAGAGCCCTGGATGGACCCGGAGGACTTGGAGCAGAGAGGCAGTGACACAACTAATGTTGGTGACTAGTCCGACGGAGAGAGTGATCATGAGGCTGCCAGTGATATGCATTCGCGGGATCGGCAGAGCCATTGTGATGTTGATCACATGACCCCTCCCTTGACTAGGAGTGCGACGAATAGAGGGCGCAAGCAGACACAGGTTGTGCGATCGTCGAGCGAGGACAAGGGAGGTGACAGGTCTGACGACGGAGATGCCGCCGATGATGAGGACTCCGACGTCGAGAGAGAGGGACCCGACCAGGACAGAGGACATGGGGACGAGCATGGATTCGACGGCGGTGATGGCAGTGGGCCGATTGAGGACGGAGCGGGTGGCGCCTTCCTTGTTACTCCTCGCCCTAGTGTAGCGGGCGGGGGCGGTAGTGGCGGACATGGATTTGGTTTGGAGGTACCGCAGGGATCGATTCCCTTAGGCATTTTCAGTGACGGCTTCGACCTTGGACGTCCACCCACTTCAGATGCTCGGCGCGGCGGGGTGCATGTTCAGACACCGGTGAGCGAAGTCGCACACCTCATAGGGTCGGTTTTTGGTGGTGCTAGTTCAGGTTTGTTGACAGAGGCTGCCAGAGCGTCAGGTGAGATACAGGAGGGCAGGACTGGTGACGACGGCGGTCGTGTTGCCAGGAGGCTACATATGGACCCCGAGGGTGTGCTTGAGGAGGAGCGTTTGGCACGGATGGTGTCGGGGTGTGCCACGACACAGCGGCTTGCGTTGGAGCAGAACACGACCAGGGCGAGGGAGATGGGGTGTAGTGTAGAGGAGGTCACTGCCGCCAGACTAGCAGCACAGTGTAGACATGATGGTCCTGCAGATGTTGTAGATGGTGGAGGACTCTGCACAGAGGGACACGTGGTGGATCGTGCGGACGACCACCAGGAGGATGCGAGGGTAGGGTTGGGTGGTTTATGTGGGGCCAGCGACACCGTACTACCCACTACTGATGAGTCGGACGGGGCCGACGGCGCGGCCACATCAAACGCAGGGGGGTTGCTTGGGTGCGATGGCACTGAGGTGGAGGGGCAGGTGGATAGAGCACTTGTCGGCGTTGTTGTTGCCGCAATGGAGGATGTGGTCGCAGATCACACTCAGGATGGTCTTGTCGCGGTGGATGCTATGGTTGCACATCGCAACGAGGAGTGACAGGTCGACCTCGGGGATATTGTTGCACACCTTATAGAGGCACACGTGCCCAGCCTATCCCCACTCGGGCGCCACACTGCTGGGATTGATCCAGTGATGGGCAGGAGCAGGCATATATCGAAGAGGCTTTGGAAGGCTGTGCCTCCATCTTCTTTCGTGCCTGTTAGTTCGCCAGCACCCTCGGGGGTATCGGGGGATATTGGGAAGACTATGGAGATGGCCGACTTGTTTGAGCAGTTGACAGGTCAGAGGGTTATCGAGCCGGGACGGGTATCATGGGGAGCAGGGCCAGTTGTTGTAGGTACACGACCAGCATGTGCAGGGGTGGTGAGTGGACGGGGAGGTGAGTCTGGTGGCAGTGTTGTGGGCGGGGGAGGGGGTCCCGCAGTTGTCGGCGGACGGTCGGGCCTTTCGCGCGGGAGTGTTGGTTGGGGAGAGGGTTCTGCTGCGCCGGCGACGGCAGGAGGGCGAGTGCAGGTGCAGGGTTCTCCATCACCTTCATCGAAGGCAAAGGGGAAGTCCGTATCGTGGAGCGGCATCAGCAGGGTCACCCGCAAACTCAAGGATGCTATGCCTGGGGTCACGGGTGAGAGGAGGGATCGTGAGGGGAGGTTGACAGAGATGTTTGCGGACGCAGCAGGCTGGGTACGGAAGGGAGATAGGTTGGAGCATCCTGGTGCCGRGTCGTCGTGTGMTGCAGATCGACGGGGCAGCACGATGGTTGCACCGCCGTCACGACCGCCCACAGCAGGTGCGGCACAGCGAGATGGTCATCGACGTCCGAAAGGGCGATCTTCCACACGTGCTTTGCCAGGTGCCCGACCACCCCCAACATTGCTGGAGGATAACCCTGATCCTGTCACTTTGCAGACGAGCCTTGGAGGTTGTATTTCTACTGCACACACGATACTGGATGAGGAGCCGCGACGTCAGACAGGTACAGGACCGGGTAGTCGTCGAGCTGCTGGGGGCCGCACGGAGGATTCCGCGACGGATGGGGTGCCCATGCCTAGGGGTAGGAAGACATACACGACTCTGATTGGCGTTTTGGGACGTTCTGCTGGAGGCGGTGTTGAGAGAGAGGCGGAGGTCCAGGAGGCAGAGAGGGTGGCAGCCAGAGCAGTTGCCAGTCATGCCGTGTTTGCGTCACAGCATCCAGGGGAGGGAGAGGAGATGGCGGCGAAGGTGCCGCAAAGGCGGCGAGAGCGCATCATCGACGATGATGACACAGACGACGGGCAGTGCGATGCGCCGTAGACTAGGACTCATCGTGTTCGCGCCGATGATGTTTGTGTGTATCTTTCTTCATTTAGAGTTTCACAGGTTTCGTTCTTCTTCTTGTTTTTTTGGTTTTATTTTTTAGTTATTCTTCTTTTATAATATTTCCTCTTGTTTGCTTTTTTTTTTTTTTTTCATATTGACACTACTGTGCGACTTCGTGCTTCCACTGAGATTTCATGTATTTTACCATGCTTCCACTTCTTTTAGTTACTTTGGTTACTTCATATTTTCATTGTTCAATTTTTTTCTTACTATGGCTTTTGTGTTTCTGTATTTCGGTTTGTTGTACTGTCTTCATTGAGGTAACCATGCGGGAATGTCTGGGGAGGGGTAACCTGTTTGGGGGGGTGTGCGGGAATGTTTGGGGAGCGGTAACATGGGTTTACAGAGGGGTATGTGGGAATGTGGGAGATGGGGTTACTTGGCTTTAATAACGGCATTGAGGAGTATCTGGGAATGTGGGGGGGGAGGGGATGGGGGTCTGGTGCGTTGG